ATGAGCAAAAACCAGTAAATCGTTGAGCCACCTCAGGGACGACCTCGAGGTCGAGCAAAGGAGAGTCACAGAGGTGTCGGCCGATGGGCACAGCAGCTGAGCAGCGCACATCTACACAGGGGCCGCCGGGCACAGCCGCAGCCGCAGCTGCTGGCCTGCCGCACGCAGCCGCTGAGCCACCGGGTGCCGGCTGCACACGCGCGAGAGGCTAGCTAGGGGCATCGGGCCAGGTCACCAGTAGGCGGGAGGCGGGACCGAGAGGCCGGGGAAGCCAGCGACTCGCCGCCGAGGCGCCGAGCCTGGGAGCGCCGTCGCCTCGTCGTCCCGCGCCTGGCCTTGCCGAATGTCGAGTGGGGGAGGCGGGAGGCCAAGCCGCCAGGGAGAGCGGCTGTAAGGCCGCTGGTCGCGTGATGGGCCAATCCGCCCCAGCCCAAGAACTCAAGCTTGCGTCGACTGCTCTGCCTCTCCTCCGCTCAGGGCTCGGATCTCGTCTTCAACCTCCGCTTCGGGCAGTCGGGCAGCGATTGTCAGCACTCCAGTACCTCCGAGGGCGGGGATAATTAACTTTTTATCATTCTAACGGATGGCCCAAATAGCAGCTTTAGATAAGATGCTACGTTTTTGGCAGCGAAGACAAAAAAAAAAAAAAAAAAAAAACGATACATATTTACCACTTGTTCGCGTAATACGCCAGCTCCGCTGTTCAACTCGGATCGGACTCAGCAGCCCTATGCTAAAAGTCAGTCATATCCCTCCCCTCATTGCCACAGATTAAAAGATGGATGGCTCGGGATAGCCACAGACAGAGATATGTATATTTGTATTTTAAGATATTTATTTTTTATTTTGCAAAGGAAAAAAGAACGTATATGACATCATCGTGATGTCATGGCTCAAGAGCAAAGCACTGTGCATGGCGCACGGCGCACGCGCCTAGGTCGGCGTTTAGCATGTCAGCGCCTCTGCAGCACTTCACGCCGCTTCTGCTCCTCGACCACCGCCGCTAGCGGTGTCCTCCATCCAACAGCCGTGTGTCGGCGACTCCAAGAGAGCGCGCCATCTGCGTGGTTCTAGTTGGCGCGCGTGGCGCATATGAGCGCCTCGAGCTTGGCGTGAAGCGGCGGTGGCGGCAATGAGGCGGTCGAGAGCTCATGCCACGAGCGACGTGGCGTCGGGCGGCGAGGCGACGGCGAACGTGCCCGTCGGAAAGCGGTGGCGAGGAGGTCGGCGTGACGTGGTCGAAGCCCATGAGTGCCGGGGTCACAGACCGGCGGCCGAGGCGCGAGGCCCGCGTCGCGACGCGGTTGAGCGCGTCGAGCTTCTACGAAAGCGCGAGCACGAGGAGGCACGCGTCATTGCCGCGCACGAGCGCAGCGCGCTGCGGGGAGCCGAGGCGGCGAGCGGCCGAAAGCAAGCGTCGCCGCCCACGTCGGAGAGGGAGCGGTAGAGGTTCGCCGCGCGTGACATGGCGTTGGCCACCTCGAAGGACAGGATGCCCACCCTGCCGTCGCTCACTGCCTTGGCGCCGCCCTCGGCGATGTCGTCGCCATGGAGAGCACCTTGTGCACCAGCGGCTCCGCCACCATGCCTCCGGCCTCATCGTCAAGCGCTTAGCTCAGGAAATCTAGAAAGGCGTAGTAAATAAATCCTTTTGCTTTTGCAGCGAAAACTATTTCGGAGACCAGCTAGCCAAGAAGGGGATTTGAATTGGAACGCTTCGATTTCGTGCCTGACTGGCTAGCTGCCCATGGACTGCACGAGCTCCTACCCTTACTTGCTGTGTGGTGATGGCCGAAGGTTGAAGAAAAATATGACTTATGGGGCCTGTGTGTTAGTAATGGGGGAGGAAGAAGCCAGAGACAGGGGCGGTCATTTTACTTGAGCCTGTTGACTCGGATCTGAGCTGGACAGTGGAGCTGGCGTGCCACGCGAGCATAAGTGATAAATATGTATCGTTTCTCTCTCTGCTGCTAAAAACGTAACGCCAAATCTAAAATTGTTATTTAAAGAGACGTCATCCGTTACCATGGTAAAAAATTAAAGGTAAAGTTCAATTTACACCCTCCAACTTTCAGCAAAGTTCGGATTTCAACCTCGAACTTCAAAACCGGATAACTTTGGCCCTCCAACTCTTGAAACCGTTCAACTTTCAATCTTCTGGGCGGTTTTGTGGGTGAACAGTAGCTTTTGATATTTTCGGGAGACGCCGAAACTTTATATTATTTTTTCGAGCATCTTAACGTCCTTAAATGAAAAAACTCAAAATTACAAAGTTGTAGATCTCATCACGCGACAGTCTACAATTTACATATAAAAATTATCTTCATCCGATATCGTATTGAAGTGTTTTCTATTTTTTGAAATTTGAGTCTCATCACGCGACAAAACAAATTTTGTCACGTGATGAGACTCAAATTTTAAAAAATAGAAAACCCTTCAATACGATGTCGGATGAAGATAATTTTTATATGTAAATTGTAGACCTCGATGAGATCTACAACTTTGTAGTTTTGAGTTTTTTCATTTGAGGACGTTAAGATGCTCGAAAAAATAATATAAAATTTCAGCACCATATTTTGTCGCGTGATGAGACTCAAATTTTAAAAAATAGAAAACCATTCAATACCATGTCGGATGAAGATAATTTTTATATGTAAATTATAGAGCTCGATGAGATCTACAACTTTGTAATTTTGAGTTTTTTCATTTGAGGACGTTAAGATGCTCGAAAAAATAATATAAAATTTCGGCGTCTCCCGAAAATATCAAAAGCTACTGTTTACCCACAAAACCGCGCAGAAGGTTGAAAGTTGAACGGTTTCGAGAGTTGGAGGGCCAAAGTTATCCGGTTTTGAAGTTCAAGGTTAAAATCCGAACTTTGCTAAAAGTTGAAACGTGTAAATTGGACTTTACCAAAAAAAAAAAAAATAATAATAATTATCCCCCGAGGGTGGGGAACAGGGGCAGTCGGTACTGCCGGAGGGGAGGTAGGGCGGCCGCCCTATGGGTCGGTCCGCCTCTTCAGCTTCAGCAGCAGAGAACGATAGGGAGCAGATAGAAGGGGGGAAAGCTAGCAAGCTCACCTCCATGAGCCAATTAGCTTGGCCCCGTGGAATTCCTGAGGCACGCCTTCGTGCGTGGTGACCACAATCACCTCGTCGCCCATCTCCCGGAGGTACTTGATGAAGTTCTGGAAGCGGTTCTTGTAGCCGGAGACGTAGGCGAAGGGCGAGGGCTCAACGAAGAGGGCGATGCGGCGGGGCCTGGACTCCGGCGCCTCGTCTTGGGCTCCATCTCCGTCTCTATCGTGGGCAGGCTCAGGCTCGAGGTCCGGGTCCGGCATCACGACGGAGGAGGACGGCGATGAGGCGCACGGAATGGGGCGCAGGAGCAATCTTCTCAGGGGATGCCGCGGGGAGAGGCAGAGCCGCGAGGGGGAGGGGGAGGGGGAGGAGGAAGGAAAGGCCCTTGTAGGCAGCGAAGGAGGCGGCTTGGGCGCTAGGATGGCCGCCGCCATGCTGTGGTGTCGCTGGCCGGCCCTCCCTCTCCCTCTCCCTCTCCCTCTCGTGTGTGTCTGGGTCAGGCTCACAGCCGAGACTGACGGAGCGGCACAGCACAAGCTGACTATCTGATACTGCATCGTATAACAGGATGATATGATCCAGCAATGAAAGAAAGAGAATGCTTTCGTGCTGACTGAGCTCGCTGCTAGTCAGCAACAGAGATGAATGAATGACAGAGAGGAAGCGAGGAAGAAGATGATGGTACAGTAACAATCCTGGAGTATAGGATAGGACACCCTAGGCATATTCGGTTTGCTTGATGGATTAGCCGGTAGATGCTCTCTCTCTCAGGTCTGCTGCTGCCTAGGATACAAGGCAGGTCGTCTTAAAACCTATAAATAGATTTAATTCTCTCATAAATCCACTTAATTTTGAGCAGCTTATGTTTACGGATAAGTCACCTTGCATTCTACTACTGCCCTTGCACACCGCCAGGGGGAGGGGGAGGGGAGATGGGGTGACAGCTTCAGGAGCAGCTTTCTCAATTAACATGAGTTGTTTTAGAAAAAACTATTTGGCAAAACATTTTCACCAATAAGTTTATGTATATCTGAGAGAGGAAAATGAGAAAGAGAGCCATGAAAAGTTATTTTTTTAGTTTCACCTCTCTCCATTCATATGTGAGAACATAGAAAAAAAGAGAGTTTCACCAATAAAGTTGTTTTAAAAAAAGATGTTGGGCAAAAAATAGCTCACAACAACTTATGAATCTATTGGTGAAGCTATGTCAAACATGGCCTAAGTAAACGATATTAAATACTTAACCGTAGCATATTTTTATCAGAAAAAATCAAATAAAACATATTTTGATCGTAACTTATCTTACTATACATACTGTTTGTTGGTACAGAATTAATACTATCTTAGAGGTACTTTCAATATAAATCTTAATTTAAATAATCATTATTGCTTAATGTTTGTTAAATTTGATTTTTTTTTCTCTTATACGAAATATATTTATCATTTCACGATGGCTAGTACAGTATCTATCGTAGACGGTAGACCACTATTTGAGCCTTTCTTTTGAGCGCAGTTTTTTCTTTTCTGGAGATTGACTTTTATCACTTGTCGTTAAAGCAAATAAGTGACGGAGATGCTTGCATACATCAGTAGGTTATTGAAGTTGAAATTTGTCCAGAACCAAGGGAGCAAATACAAAAGTATGTGTGAAAGAAAAAGTTGTAATGGACACTGCTTGCATACATCAGTAGGTCATCTTTAGGTTGGATCTGGATGAGGGGTGGGTCCCACGCTATCTCAGAGTGTGGACACGGCAGCGCCACGTGGGAAAAAGGATGGATGCTATGCTAGCAAAAATCTCTCAGTCGGCCGCTCGCGTGGATGCGGACGCGGTAGGCAGAGAGAGAGAGAGAGAGACAGAGGCAGCAGAGTTACTGGTGGACGGATCGCCTGCTGAAGCTGGTGGGAGCGGGCGGCATGGACACCATCGTCTCCCTCTCGCCTCCTCTGCTGCGCCTGCGCATGAGCCACAGCCACCACCCCCACGCATCATCATCAGCTTCCACTACTGCTAGTCGTCACCTGCCTCCTGCTGCCGCTGCATCATCCAGTTCCAGTTCCAGCCCGCGGCTGCTCATCAAGCAGCAGAGGAGCAGCAGCATTATTGGTAATAACCATTCATCGCCAACCCGGTCAAGATCACTATTACTGTCGCCTCGTGCTTCTGCTTCTGCTTCTGTCAACGGCGACGGTGGCCGCAGCACCGGCGCAGAAAGAGAAAGACCTCGTGTTCGTGGCTGGCGCCACCGGCAGAGTTGGGTCCCGGACCGTAAGGGAGCTCATCAAGCTTGGCTTCCGTGTGCGCGCTGCCGTCAGGAACACCCAGAGGGCCACGTCCCTGGTGCAGGTATCATATTCACCATGTATGGATTTGATTGGGAACGAATGAATTTGATTGACTTCATCATATCATAATGCTTAATGAATGGTGAATGAATTGTCTGGCATTGATTTGCAGAGCGTCCAGCAACTGAAACTAGCAGACGGCGATGGCGATGCAGCCGCAGAGACGACGCAGCTGGAGCTTGTGGAGTGTGACCTGGAGAAGCAGGCGCAGGAAGGCATCGTTTCAGCCATAGGCAATGCTTCCCTGGTGGTGTGCTCCATCGGTGCCAGCGAGAAGGAGATCCTGGATGTCACCGGCCCATACCGCATCGACTACATGGCCACCAACAAACTTGTACAGGCTGGTATGGCTAATTGCTACGGTTAATTAAGCTGATGCTAATTATATTAAGCGGCTAGCTAGTAGTAGGTTAATGAAGCGACCCCGATTTCCGCAAAGGGAAATCCACAATGTCGAAGTGTAATAAGACCGTTGTAGATCATATTACCCAAATTCCAGTCGAATATCACATCCATACAACGATAATATCAGAGTACAAATAGTGCGGAATTACATAAATTTATTACATCGCCGCATTGGCAGAATCAAAAGTAACATTCATTCAGAACAGCTTGAAGATAAGATCGCCAAACTCGAGCGTAGGAACGAACCCCTCGACCGTCAAACTCCTCGGAGCTATACTCCTCAGCAGAACCTATGTGCCAAAATTTATCAGTACGATTTGTACTGGCCACTCCTAACCCTATGAGCTTTGCTTTGTGGAAATTGGATACAAGTTAGATATAATCAAAAGGAACCTATAAGGCTGGGATTTCCTACGTATTAGCATATCAATTATTTAATAACAGTTGGTCAAGTTTTAACACCATTTACACACCCATTCCACCCCATTTCCATTCCAGAGCCAGGTTTCGATCCTGGGATCGATATACCACCATCTCCACATCATCACTATACCATACCCATACCATCGATCAGTCGACAGGCCAACTCCCTCTCGGCACTGTCTCAAGGCCCGTAGCCCCTGGCTACGTCCGAACACTCACTCCCAGAGGGAGAAGATGACTCATCTCACTATCTAGTTTAAGCGAAACCCAGAAAAGGTCCATAGCCGACAAGTCGGCATATGTATCGATCGATCAACCATACACTCTGCAAAGGTTTTACATCACCACAAGATCCGCCTTTCCTCGTTGAACGTCGTCAACTGGGCTGATTCCGGCCGCTTGCTAGCCTAGGATAATGCCACTCTACCATTCAGCCCTTTCGGTACACCCCAAGTCCGGCCTCGAGGTGGTCAAATCGTGAGTCATGAACCGGGTTCCACAAGGTCTCCATGAAGTCTCGGAAGGGTGTGGGGAATCCTCCGCACCCCGCACCTCCCAAACAACATTCGCTATCAACCTAGCAAGAGTGGCAATACCCTACCAAGTAGTCCGGCCGTCCCCGCACCATATAGGGTGAGTGGTACGTAAGACTTCCCATGAATCTGAGTACCAAGAAGTCCTTAGGGATGACCAAGCCGTAATGTCTTCATCGGGGTTTCCATTTACCGTGCCACCACAGCACCTCCACCACAGGCTCCTCCCATCACAAGTTTCACACCCTGTACACCACCTCATATACCATTTACCCACCACATGTATCCATTCCAGGATGCCTGTAGCACCCACCTGCAAGACTTGCCCCAGGCTCGTCGTATACTCTAACTTGGTCGACACAACCCTCACCCTCCATGCACCCAAGTCACACACGCAGCACTCTCCCCATGGTTCAGATAACACCGGTTTCCACCACGCATCAATGTAGTGCAAGTGTAGTAGAAGTAATAAGCAATGAAATATAATAGCAAGCGTGTGACTAGCCTAACAGCAGGGTGAGCAGGGATAAGGTTGCGTCAAGGTAAAGGCCATCAAGAAAGCATATTACCATGCAAGTCCTATCATGGTGTGATCATAACAATAAAGTAAAGCACTAGCATTTCTATTTTAGCCATGCGTAATAGGTGCTACGAGATTGGGTGGGATGTGGCACCTTCAGTGTAGTCGTCTCCGTACTCCTCACGGTACTCACGATCCTCGTCCGTCCGGTTCTCCTCCGAGTCTGCAAACGATCGTATTATAGTCGCATTAGCGACGTCTATAGAATAGCACAAAGAAGCAATAAAAATTCAAAAGAGTCAAATGTACTCAAACATGGGTTCATTGCGTAGAGCTTAATTTTAGATGAATTTTAGTCCTAGTTTTGTATTTTTCTGAGGTCGTATGAATTAGTTATGAATTTTCGAAGATTAAATCATTTTTGAAAATGGAAAAAGGCTGAATTAATCCTGGGCTGACACGTGTCACGCTGTGACTGGTCCACGTGGCATGATGATATCAGCGTCTCGGTTTCGTGCTGACAGGGGGGTCCAGCTAACGTCAGCAATGTCATTAGTTCTGACAGGTGGGGTCTAGGGGCTCTTGGGTCACTGACATGTGGGTCCGGTCAAAGTCAACGTCAGTCAACGATGAGTCAACGGTCTACGGTCAACGGTCAGGGTCAATGACGCGGGGTGTGGCGGCCGACGCGGCGTCGGCGATGATGTCATCATGGCGTCACCATGACGTCACCACGTCGGCGTGTGGCGTCCCACGTGGCGTCATCACGAGGTCGCGTGACCGTCACCCTATCGACAAGTGGGTCCAGCGACTCGGTGTCGCTGACATGTGGGGCCAGGTCAACGGTCGACGTTGACCGATCAACGGTCAACATGGGCCGGGTCTCAAACGGGCTTTGGTGGGCTCGGGTTGGGCCGGGCCGGACCAGACACGTGGCAAGCTGTGACGCTGCCACGTCGTAGCCATGGGCCTCTACTGGGCTGTGGTCTTCGGCTATGGGCGTGAACGTGGCTCACGGTGGACCAAGAGACGCTGGTCCATGGACCGCAGACAGGTCTACGGTGGACTGAGTCCACCCTTCTCTCAGGCGTGGTCCATGTGCACCGGGTGTATGCGCGGGTTGCCGGCGAGGGTGGGTGTTCCCCTGTTTCTCCCGCGGCCGTGCTCTTGCCGGCGGCGAGCTCGCTGGTGAGCTTCCGTGGTGGTGCTAGTGCGCAATTGACGCGGGTGGAAGCTCCGCCGAGCCTCGGCGTCTTCATTGGTGGGGTTACCATGGCGTGCGGGGTCCCGTGGTGTGCTGGCCACGGCGGTAGTCTTCCTGGCATGACGACGGCACCGGTGAGGTGGCTACGGCCACGGCGAAGTGTCCTGGGGGGCCGTGTAAGCTTCTATGGATCCATGGGGACGTGACGAGGGCGTCCAGGGCTCAAGGCGGGGCTTTGGGCTTCCAGGTGGTCGGTAGGGGCTCCCCGGCGGCCACGGCGACATGGTGACGACGGCGAGGCGCACGGGTGAACTACGAGGCTCCAGCAGGGTGGTCACGGCGTGGTTGCGGGTGTGCGTGTGGGTGCGTGTGTTCCCAAGGACCAGAGATGGCCCTGGCCTTCGTGCTCCTGGTGTGGAGCGCCATGGCCGACAAGGTGAGGTCCGGTGGCGGACAGGGAGAGACTGGGAGGGGGCTCACCGTTGGTGTCGACGGCGATAGCATGGCGATGCATTGGCGGTTCGAGGCTGTGTAGCTCCAGAAGCCATGCAGTGCCCACCCGCGACCGTGATGACGACGACGGCGTCGCCCTCCACTGTGGCAACTCCGGCGACGTCGGGCGCTCCTTCTTCTTCCTCTATCCCCTTTCTCTCTTGGCTCTCTCTCTTGGCTCGGGTGAGCGGTGGACGGCCACAAGGTGGCGGCGGGGCACAGGAGAGCGCTTGGGCATCCAAGGCCAGGGTTTTTATAGCCGCGCTCATCCATGGAGCTCGGTGGACAGTGGATGGAGGACTAGGGGCGATCGGAGGGCTTCTAGCGAGGCTGGGCTAGGGTTCTAGGGCCGTGGCACGGTCATGGGCGTGGCGCTAAGGGGGAGACAGGGTCATGCCCCCGGCGTGACCCCTGGCCCGCTCCTGCCAGCGCTGTCGGGCGCCGGGCGCGTAGGCGGTTGAGGCATGGGTGAGGAAGACGACACTGTGGACGGGTGTGCGGCTGACATGCGGGGTCTAGCGGACAGCGGCTGCGGGCGAAGCAAAAGGGGCGTGCGGGTGAGCAGCGCGCGGGGCTGGTCGTTGGGTTGGCCGCGTGAGTTGGGCTAGCTGGCTTAGCCAGCTGCTGCGCGTGCTAACTGGGCCGGCTGGCTGCTACTGCGTGCTAGCGGGCCGAGCAGGCCTGGGCTGCGAGGCCCTCTTCCTCATTTCCTTTTTCTATTTTCTTTTTCTTGTTCCTTGATTTGAATTCAAATTTGGTTTGGGTATTTGAATTCAAAATGGGCGCACCAAATTCATTGGAGTTTTAGATATGAGGCCCACCACATACTTATATAAATATTAGGAATTTATTTAGCTATTTTGTATAACAAAAATAGGTGTAGTTTTGTTATACAAAAATAGAATTTGTTTTCTCTTTAAACCTTTATTCCCTGGTTTGAGTATTAATTACTTTATGGTGTATTTCTTTAAAGAAGTTGTTAAGCATAACATAAAGCAATTGGAAATCCAAATCACAAGTTGAGTTCACAATATATGCCATGTTTCATTGGATAGTATTTAAATATGCATGATTAACAATGGCATGCCATGCTTATGTGTTGACTTGGGTTGGGGTTAGACCTAATGCATCCCTTAGGTTGGGTTACTATACATGACACTCATCATCACATGGGAGTTTTAAGAAAAAAAATTTGTAGTTGGTATTTTTAGTGTATGGATTTTTGGGTTGTTACAGTTCTACCCCCTTAACAGAATCTTGTCCCTGAGATTAAAACGTAACGTACTCTTTGAAGAGATAAGGATACTGTAGCCAGAGGACAAACTCTTTCTTCCATGTTGCTTCTCTCTCTGTGTGATTGCTCCATTGGATCTTGCACATAGGAATAGTCTTGCTTTGGGTCTCTTTGGTATCTCTGCCCAGAATTCTGATAGCATGTTCTTTATACTCAAGTGTATCTTGAATGTCAAGTGTATCTGTTGGAACTACTTCATCGGACACTCTCAAACACTTGCGTAGTTGTGAGACATGAAATACGGGATGTACACCTGTCAATTCCTCAGGTAGCTCATGTCTGTAGGTGAGCTTTCCAATCCTCTTGCAAATCTTGTATGGGCCAACAAATCTAGGGGCAAGCTTCCCTTTCACATGGAATCTGACCGTCCCACGTAGCGGGGATACCTTGAGATAGACGAAGTCTCCCACATTAAACTCAAGTTCTCTTCTTCTTTTATCAGCATAGCTCTTGTATCGACTTTGTGCAATTCT